CCGGTCCGCGGACCGGGGGTTGGGGACCACTGTTCTAGTCCACCCACCCACCCCACACACACACTCTATACCAGTGTTTTTCCCCAGCATAGCTGGCTGGGGAATTCTGGGAGTTGAAGTCCACAGGACTTCAAGTTGCCAAGGTTGAGAAACACTGCTCTATACCATTCCAGAGAAAAGCCTCCAGTGATGGAGCGCCTACAACTTTTGAAGGCAAGCCGTTCCACTGGTTAATTGTTCTTATGGTTAGGAGATTTCAGTCCACTGAAAGAATATATATAGGAAGTTGTGACATTGGACGTATTACTCCTATCTTCTAGCATTGACCTATATTTTGGTCACTCACTGCACTCACTTCATGTCTTCATTGCAGATCACCACAGGAACACTTCCCTGTGTTGTTGGCATATTGGCTGGCAGAGGAAAAGAGTCTTTATGTACACTTGTGTTTCCCCTTGATTAGCCAGATATTATTCAATGTGAAGTATATTACATCATTATAGCAGTACATTAGTTATTTCAGGGTATAGAAAATGGGACACCTATGAATGTTCCTTATATTTCAAGTCTTCTAAAGATTCAGTTTATGTTATCATATAGAGTCATCCCACATATCTTAAAGAGCAGAAATACCAATAAGAGTTAAAGAAAATTCAAGTTCAGAAATACTTGTACACTGCATTAAATCAGTTTAATTGGAATACTGCTTTGTGTCTATATTCAGAAGAGTGAATGTTACAAAGTGTGCAAACCATCTCAAGTTTGTGCTCTGTTCTACTGCCGCTCCTTATTTTTCTCCCTCTGTGATGTTTTGACAATGATTTGCCAGAGGGCCTTAGATGCTACAAAAACAGTATATATCTTTTTTCCCCCTGAATTAATTGGAGGTCATTCGTTTGTCTAAAAATAATTCATAGTTTAAATTCATTCTTATTCATGAAGTCTTAAAGTTAATGTCTCTACTTTTATGCTTTCTGTTTGTTACACTAATTTAGCTTCTAAGTTCCAATGCCCGCTGTTCTTTCTTACCATTTTTTCTAGCAATGACCTAAAACTGTACAGATTAATGAAATTAATGACGTTGAATGTAAGAGTTACACCAGTAATATTCTAGTATACAAAGAAAAATGCAGAATAAATGGTTACTGTAATTGTGTAACTCATTTTATCTTCCTGGGAAGTTAGCCAAAGTTTTACAAAAGACTGAGTTATATATTCTCATTCTTTTAATTGTGGCATACAATATAGAATACTTGTCTGTTGTTGGGTTCTCCATAGAAAAACTTTAAGGTAGGTTAATTCTAATCTATTTGGCAAAAGGCAAATGGAGGCATATGTGGACCATGGATCCCAGATGATGGTCAGATATTTACACATACAGTGTCTACTGCAGGCAAAATGACACAGACAAACTGGACTGCTAAGGTAAGAGAAGATTTGATCATCATAAAGATACTTCTCAACTTATGACCACAGTTGAGCCTGAAATTTATGTTGTTAAGTGAGACATTTAAGTGAGTTTTGCTCCA